GGGAGCGGATTCACACAGTTGGCAGCAGGGTCCATGCGGCCATCCAGAGAGACTTCAGCTCGCCTCCACTGCCCTGTTCCTGGAGCTCGTGTGTGGTTTCAGCCCCACCGCTGCCTGCGCGCCACCCACAGGCCTCTGGTCCCAACGCCGCCCCAGAGCCCGGCCCGGCCGGAGCCCTTCCGGCGCCCCAGGGAGGCAGGGGCAGCACGTGTGCCCTGCTGTTTGCGCTTCAGCAGCGCTGCTTCGCGTCTGTGGCTGTGCGGTCTTCCTCTGTGAGCGTGCCGGGTCGTGGCTTCCTCACTCTCCTCCCCGCAGCCTACAGCTGTTCCCTCCGCAGGTCTGTTTCTATACCCCGCAGTGCCGGCCCCCATCTGCACCAGCAGACAGTGTCTGAGGCTGGGGCATGCAGGGCTGTGGCACCGACCATCTGCGCAAGTCTCACTCTGTCCTGCCTGCCACAGCCTGGCTGCTGCACTCTCCTCCAAGCCCCAAAGCGCCCCTCTGTCCCAGCGCATCTCCCCACCAGCGGGAGGGCATCCCAGATGTGGGAGCCTCTCCTGCCTTCAGTTCCCCACCCAGGTATGCAGGCATCTTCCTTACCCTGACTCAGTGTCTGAGGTCTTCTGCTAGCGTTCAGCAGGTGCTCTGCGAGACTTCTCCCATTTGGAGATGTATTCTTGATGAGGTGAGGAAAGTTGAACTCCACATCCTCCTAATCCTCCGCCATCTTGACTCCCCCTGTAATTTAATTTAAAATATCTTTAGACATTACGGTGTGAAATATATGTGCGATGGGTTAAGCTACTTTTCAGGGGCACTCAGCCACCCTAATCAGAATTTCACACCCCACAGGAGGTCAACTCTCATTTAATGAGAAAGGCCAGAGGTTTGTACAAGTATTTTAAAGTACCCATATCTCAATTAGCATAATGATTATTAGAAATGAGTTGCCTGATGAAAGCAGTGCCATGTTAATTAGCATAATGAAACTGGAAATGAGCTCCATTTGTGAGATTCAGAATATTCAAGATAACGTGAATTGGCTATGGTACTTTAAGGATGCTCTCCACTCAACCCAGGAAAGATGGAGTAAGGATGCAGGGAAACTTGCAGCCTGTGCCATCACGACCCCCCCACCCCCCATGCTTCTTGTGACTGTCCAGAACCTCTTTTCCCTGCTTTAGCTGCCCCCATTTTTCATGATCACTGTGTGATATGACAGGAGTTGGGGGGGGGGGGGGTGTATCTCTGCCCAATCCAGAGAGAACATATCTCCCTCTGAGGAATTCTAGCAAGTCTCCCCACCCACCTCCATCCTAGACCCAGTTTCACCCTCAGTATCACACAGCATGCCAGATTTTATGCTCTGACACCATACCCCTGCCCTCAAGAGTTTACATTGTAACTGAGGCTGGAGCCTGGTGATGTAGCTGGATGAATTATAGGAGATAAAGTCCAACAGGCCAAATTTCATATGCCTTTGGGCCTTGGATATGTAGCTTTGTGTAGATCAAGAGTTCTCAGTTTTATTCTAAGGGAGCTACAAAACCTCTGGAGAGTTTGAAGAAAAGGAAGGATGGAATTTGATTGATATTATAAATGACTCCTGCTTCAGGTTCCCATCTCCATATTTTTGAACTTCCTGTTTCCTCTACCTAGAATGCTTTTCCTCTAAGACTCTCCTAGATTAGCTTGTAATTGTCTTTCACATGCAGGCCTGTATGAGAGACCTTCCCTGATACCAAATCTTAGGTATTTATCCAGCCACTTTCTATCACAGAATATTTTTTTAAATATTCTACTTTGAGATTCTTTTTCTTTATGATGGTTTGCTAATTGATCCATTGATTGTGAGGCTACTCCTAGTAGGAGATAAATTCCGAGAGGATGGGGGAGGCATCTGCTTCTTCCATAGCTCTTTCCTTAGCATCAGGAATACTGCCTTTCACATAGTAGGCACTCGGTCAAGAACTGTTGATTGGATAAATAAAGGTGTCATTTTCATTTACCCAGACATCATCAAACCGTTAACAAGTGTTTATGTGTGTGTGTGTGTGTGAGACTCAGTCGTACCCGACTCTTTGCCATCCCATGGACTGCAGCCCAGAAGGCTCCTCTGTCCATGGGATTTTCCAGGCAAGGATACTGGATTGACTTGCCGTTTCCTTCTTGAAACTGTTAACAAGGAGGGTCTTAAATCATTCATTTCCTCACTGGGCCTTGGAACACCCGAAGCCCGTTTCCCATCCTCCCCAAGCCCTGAGAGGTGCTCCCGCCCGCACGGCGTCTCTCATCCCGCCCTGGTGTCTGTCACTGCTCCTGCAGAGACAGTCTCTGTTCCCTCCTCACATATTAGCTCACTCAGCGGACTGGAAAAACCCAGCATGCTTGGACCGAGTGCCAGAGATTACCATATTGTTTGATGTGATTCACACAGACTTTAAATTTAAAAAACAAAAAATAGGAGATGGAGACAAGATGACAGAGTAGAAGGACATGAGCTCCCTTTTTCTTATGGAAACACCAGAATCACAACTGACTGCTGAACAACCATCATCCAAGAAATGTGGGAGCCTATCAAAAAATGACATTCTACCTCCAAAGACAAAGAAGCAGCCACAAAAGAATGGAAGTATGGGCACAATCAGGATAACATCAAATACCATACCTATGGCGTGAGTGACCCACAAACTGGAAAACAATTATACCACAGAAGTTTTCCCACCATAGTGAAAGTTCTGAGCCCCGTGCCAGATTCCCCAGCCTGGGGATCTGGCAACAGGAGAAGCCCCCAGAGAACCTGGTGCTGAAAGCCAGTGGTGTTTGATCCTAGCGATCCCACAGGACTGGGGACAACAGAAACTCCACTCTCGGAGGCTGTATGCCAGGTCCTGTGTACACCGGGACCCAGGAAAATAAGCCGTGGCCTCTCAGGAGCCCAGACCAGACCCGCCTGCTGGTGCTGAAGGGGCTCCTGAGGAAGCGGGGAGCATCCAAGGCTCACGGTGGGGCAAAGACACTGGCAGCGGTAGTTCTCACGGGCATGACCCCCGTGAAGGTCACCATCTTCTCATCAAGACCCGGCCCCGCCAGCAACCTGCAGGCTCCAGTGCCGGGACACCTCAGGATGATCAGTCAGCAAGGGTGGAGCACAGCAGCCCCCATCACTGGAGACCATGCAACCATACATCAATAAAATGGACAACCTAGATAGAGTAAATGGACAACTTCTTCCAGTACTGAACAGGAAGAACTAGAAAACATGAACAGACCAATCATAAGCAGTGAAATTGAAACTGTGATTTAAAAACTCCCAACAAACAAAAATCCAGAACCAGACAGCTTCACAGGCAAGTTCTATCAAACATTTATAGAAGAGTTAACCCTGACCCATCTGAAAATCTTCCAAAAATATCACAGAGGAAGAAGCACTCCCAAGCTCATTCTATGAGGCTACCATCACCCTGATAACAAAACAAGATAAAGATACCACAAAAAAGAAAATTATAGGCCAATATCACTGCTAAACATAGACATTAAAATCCTCAAGAAAATACTAGCAAACGAAATTCAACAACACAGTAAAGGGATCATACACCCTGGTCAAGTGGGATTTATCTCAGGGATGCAAAGATTCTTCACTATATTCAAATCAATTACTGTGATATACCACATTAACAAAATGAAGAATAAAAGCTGCATGGCCATCAATAGATCCAGAAAAAGATTTTCAAGAAGTTCAACACCCATTTATGATGAAGAACTCTCTAGAAAGTGACTGTAGAGGGAATCTACCTCAACATGATAAAGGCCATATAATACAAACCCACAGCTAACATCATTCTCAATGGTGAAAAACTATTTCCTCTAAGACAAGGAGCAAGAAAAGACAAGGATGTCCATCCTTGCCACCTTTATTAAACATACTTTTGGAAGTTCTAGTCATGGCTATCAGAGAAGAAAAGGAAATAAAAGGAATCCAAATTGGAAAAGAAGTAAAACTGTCACTGTCTGCAGATGACATGATACTGTACATAGAAGTATAGAAAGAGTATCTGAAAGAGATGGGAATACCAGACCACCTGACCTGCCTCTTGAGAAATCTGTATGCAGGTCAGGAAGCAACAGTTAGAACTGGACATGGAAAAACAGACTGGTTCAAAATAGAAAAAGGAGTACATCAAAGCTGTATATTGTCACCCTGCTTATTTAACTTATATGCAGAGTACATCATGAGAAATGCTGGGCTGGATGAAGCACAAGCTGGAATCAAGATTGCCGGGAGAAATATCAATAACCTCAGATATGCAGATGACACCACCCTTATGGCAGAAAGTGAAGAAGAACTAAAGAGCCTCTTGATGAAAGTGAAAGAGGAGAGTGAAAAAGTTGGCTTAAAGCTCAACATTCAGAAAACTAGGATCATGGCATCCAGCCCCATCACTTCATGGCAAACAGATGGGGAAACAGTGGCTGATTTTATTTTGGGGGGCTTCAAAATCACTGCAGATGGTGACTGCAGCCATGAAATTAAAAGACGCTTACTGCTTGGAAGCAAAGTCATGACCAACCTAGACAGCGTATTAAAACGCAGAGACATTATTTTGCCAACAAAGGTCCATCTAGTCGAGGCTATGGTTTTTCCAGTAGTCATGTACGGATGTGAGAGTTGGACTATAAAGAAAGCTGAGTGCCGAAGAATTGATGCTTATGAACTGTGGTGGTGGTGAAGACTCTTGAGAGTCCCTTGGATGGCAGGGAGAGCCAACCAGTCCATCCTAAAGGAGATCAGTCCTGAGTGTTCATTGGAAGGACTGCTGTTGAAGCTGAAACTCCAATACTTTGGCCACCTGATGCAAAGAGCTGACTCATTTGAAAAGACCCTGATGCTGGGGAAAGATTGAGATCAGGAGGAGAAGAGGACAACAGCGGATGAGATGGTTGGATGGCATCAACCTATTCTCATAAAACCATAAGATGCTGCTGAAAGAAATCAAAGATGACACAGATGAAAAGATATACTATATTCTTGGATTGGAAGAATCAATATTGTGAAATGATTATACTACTCAAAACAATCTATAGATTCCATGCAATACCTATGGCATTTTTTTTTTTCAGAAAAACAGAACAAACAAAAAGTCAGAATTTGAATGAAGACACAAAAGACCCAAAGAGCCAAGACAATATTGAAGAAGAAAAACAGAGCCAGAAGGAACAGTCTCCCAGACTTCAGATGATACTATAAAGCTACGGTCATCAAAATAGTATGGTAGTGGTGCAAAAACAGAAATACAGATCAATGGAACAGGAGAGCAAGTCGAGATAAATCTACATACCTGTGGTCAACTAATCTGTGACAAAGGAGGCAAGAAACACACAATTGAGAAAAGACAGTCTCTTCAGTAACTGGTGCTGGGAAAACTGGGCAATTACATGTAAAAGAATGAAATTAGAACACTCTCTATGCCAAAAATAAACTAAAAAAAAAAAAAATAGATTAAGACCTAAATGTAAGGCTAGAGAGTATGAAACTCTTAAAGGAAAACAGGAAGAACACTCTCTGACATACATTTCAGCAATATCTTTTTTGATAGACCTCCTAGAGTAATGAAAATATAAACAAAAATAATTATAAAATAATTAATTAAACTTAAAAGCTTTTGCATAGCAAAGGAAACCATAAGCAAAATGAAAATATAATCCACAGAATGGGAGAAAATCTTTCCAAATGAAGCAGCTGACAAGGGGTTAATCTCCAAAATATACAAACACCTCATGGAGCTCAATATCAAAAAAGCAAACAAACCAATCAAAAAATGGGCAGAAGATCTGAAAAATAAAATTTCTTCAGAAACAATAAACAGATGGCTAGGAAGCACATGAAAACATACTTAACATCACTATCAGAAAATGTGAATCAAAACTACAATGAGATATCACCTCCCACTAATCAGAAAGACCATCATCAAAAAACTACAAATACATGCTAGAGAGGTTATGGAGAAAAGAGAACCCTCTTACACTGTTGGTGGGAATGTAAATAGGTACAACCACTATAGAAAACAGTACAGAGGTTCCTCAAAAGAAACTAAAAGTTGCCATATGATCTGGAATCCCACTTATGGGCATATGTCTTGCAAAAGACATATTTCAAAAAGATACAAGCAACCCAATATTCATTGCTGCACTATTTACAATAGCTAAGACATCAAAGCAACCTCAACATTCATCGACAGAAAAGAGGGTAAAGGAGATGTGGTTCATAGAGACAATAATATTACTCAGCCATAAAATGAATGAAATAAATCCTTTTGCAGTTGCATGCATGGACCTAGAGGTTGTCTTACTGAGTAAAGTCAGACTGAAAAAGACAAATATTTTAAATCACTTATTTGTGGAATCTTAAAAATGGTACACATTAACTTATTTACGAAATAGAAATAGAGTTACATATGTAGAAAAGAAACCTGTGGTTACAAAGGGGTTAGAGGAGGAGGGATAAATTGGGAGACTGGGATGAACATATACACACTATTGCATATAAGATAATTAATAGGGACCTACTGTAGCACAGGGAAATCTACTCAGTACTCTCTAATGGCATATATGGGAAAAGAATCTAAAAAAGAGTGGGCATATGTTTACATATAACTGATTCACTTTGTTGTACACCTGAAACTAACAAGTATAAATCAACTATACTCCAATAAAAGGTTAAAAAAAAACTACAGACAACACAACAGAAGGTTATAGGACAAAAGTTTGAGAAATGTTAATAATGTGCATGTGAACAAAAAGGTTATATTTGGAATCATGGGTCAGCAGAATTTTAATATTCCAAATTCCACTTTTCAAGCTAAAAAAACATTACCTCCTATTTTGTTGTCCTGTTTTTGTTTTTGGTTTTTTTTCTCCTATTGTTCAAAGGGGATAGTAATGCAAGAGGCTGGTTACTCTTTACCCAAACCAGGAAAATGATACCTGTACTTTATTTTAGATGTTCTTTGGAAATTCCAGTTTCTGCTCAGTTTATTCCCAGTTTTTCTTTGTGTACTTAGAAAATTTTTTTAAAAAACTAGGACTTGAAAAGTATGAGTCTGCAAGCAAAGCTATATTCTAATATACAAAATCAGAAGTCCTTAAAATTCCATCTTTTCCATTTACCAATTTTTACTCAAGGGGCCTCCCTTAAATCTTTAAAGTGAGAGATTACATCAGTGTTCTCCAGAAAATATAAGGCAGGTCTGCATAGCTGAGGGAAGACTGACCCCCCTTCCCTGAATTTGGGGTGTGGGCTTCTGATAACTCAGACTGTAAAGAACCCGCCTAACAATGCAGAAGACATTAAGAGATGTGGGTTCGATCCCTGGGTCAGGAAGATCCCCTGGAGAAGGGAATGCCCACTGATTCCAGTATTCATGCCTGGAGAATCCCATGGACAGAGGAGCCTGGCAGGCTACAGTCCATAGGGTTGCAAAGAATCGGACACGACTGAGCTCCTAAGCACAGCACAAATCACTCCTGTCTACCTTTCCTGTCCTAATGAAGTGTGAAAGTGCATGTTTACATAACGCTTGTGTCATGCACTGGCATTCATAAAAAAACAGAAGGCCTCCAAAATGTTAAGGCTTTGATCAGGAGCAAGAAGAACATTTTAAGTTGGATACTGAGACTATTTAAAAATTAAAATGAGTTGCACTGTAAAAAGAGGAATATGTGTGACTGAGAGCATTATGAAAATACAAATAAAATCTATCATTAGTCACAATCTTAACAGACATGTGTGGATAGTAATCAAGGGCATATAATTTGCTGATTACTGTACTGACCATGTATAGACAATTGGTATTATGACAGTTCTTTTAGAGAAGACTGGAAAAATTACAAAGCCCTAGCAACACTAGGGTTGAGATAGAAGCTTTCTAAGGTCAGTGTGAAGGTAGGGAGACTGACAACATTTTAAGATCACAGAGTCAGTCTGAATGCTCTCATCTTCCATCCTCCCCACCCCCGCCTCCCCCCAAAAAGCAGAGTGAATACATTAAAAAGTAGTAAAAAGTAGTAAATCATCATCTTAGAATTGTAGACTTTTAGGCTAGAAAAAGCCTTAAAATGATCTAATCATGCCATATTCACCAATGTCATTCCTGACAGATTAACTTCACAGATTTTCATGTGAAAAGACGAATTCTGTGATCTACACTATTCTCCCACTACCTGATTGCGCTTAGTAAACTAAACATGCAGTTAGGTTATCAACAAAGAAAGGCATCAAAAGGAAAAAAAAATGTTTTTGAAAACATGTGATCTTTTACATTAGTATCAAAATAATTATACTGACCAAAAAATTCTCTTACAGTTTTTTAATAATTTTTTAAAGCATTCCAAAGGAGACCAGAACATACTGCAGTCTTTCAGGAAGTAAGTATCCATCTGGCCCTGTAGGGGGTCATGTCCGTTAGTATATTAATAGCTTTGAAGACAGCTACAATTAAACAAGCACAGCACTAAGGTTAGAGCAGTGTTTCTCTCAGCACCACTTTTGACCACCCTCTCCACATCGCAGGCCGATTCTTTACCAGCTGAGCTACCAGGGAAGCCCAGGAGTGAATTTAGTTCTATTAAATAGCAATAGACTATTAAATAGTCTTCCATTCAGACTTCAGCAAGCCACCATGAAGATGCAAAGTACAACCATTTATTTCCTCTCATTTGTTTTCATGTAGCAACAAGACCACTTGAAGGATGAAGCAAGTGATGGGAGGAGGCTATTGGAAGCATTTGTGTAAGGTTATAAAACTTGAAAGTAGCTCCAATATGACCCAACAATCCCACTCCTGGGCATATACCCAGAGAAAACCACAACTCAAAAAGATACAGGCACCCCCAATATTCATTGCAGCACTATTTACAATAGCCAAGACTCAGAAGCAACCTAGATGTCCATGAATAGATAAAGAGGATTAATGATACATATATACAATAGAATATTAATCAGCCATAAAGAGGAAGAAAATTGAGTCAGTTGTATTGATGATCCCTGGGTCAGGAAGATCCCCTGGAGGAGGGCTTGGTAGCCCAGTTCAGTTTTCTTGCCTGAAGAATCCCATGGACAGAGGATAACCCTGGCAGACTACAGTCTGTAGGGTCACACAGAATCAGACACAACTGAAGTGATTTAGCATGCATGCATGGAATCGAGAAAAATGGTACTGATGAACCTATTTGTGGGGCAGAAATAGAGATGAAGATGAAGATAATGGATTTGCGGACACAGCAGGGAAAGGAAGGAGAGGGGAAGGTGAATTGAGAGAGTAGCGCTGATAGATACACACTACAATGTATAAGAGAGACAGCTCGTGGGAAGCTGCTGCATAGCACGGGGAGCTCAGCTCAGGGCTCTGTGATGACCCCAGGCTGGGATGGAAGTGGTGGGAGGGAGGCCCGGAGGGAGGGGATATATGTACACACACAGCTGACTCACATTTTTGTAGAGCAGAAATTACCATAACATTGTAAAGCCATTATCCTCCAATAACAAAGAAGGAAGGAAGCTGCAGCCTCACTCATACACACGGACACTTGGAGACCAGCCCACCAGACACACCCTCGCAATGAGGGGTTCTGCGTCATGCAGCCCATTGACTGAAAGCATTCACTGAACAGGTCTGATGCAGATTCTTGCCGTATTAGGCATTTTCTACTCAATGCACAGTAATACCAGGGCGGAAGATGGAAATGGGAACAAAGAATAGACCTAAAAGCAAACACAAAAACACACACCAAATGTGGTTCCCATAACAAGACAGAGTTTTAGAAATAAATGGAATGAGGATATACTTTGGAAAGGTATATATAGAGAGATCAAATATACTCCACGGTTCCCAGGATGACGACGGAAATTTCCCTTATTGTTGCTGCTATTATGACAATTTCGATGGCTTTCATTCTAGAAAGAAATGCCACTTTCTTTCATAACACAGAAAAATAAATGTATTTCTAGAGACTTAAACTCTGCTTAACACTGGAAATAATCTATCAACAAGCTGCTTTCCTTATATGATTCTAGGAACAAGTTAGGCAGGTTTCTAAGAGCCACAGCTGAGTCACATGAGGGCTTTTGGCAGACTAGAAAAAGAAGCCCTCTGGGTCATCCCAGGCTAAGTCTCATCTAGTTCAAAGCACCATTGAGGGCTTTTTGTGAATTTGAGTAAGGGCCACATGCTCAGGGCAAATGCAGCCCTGCTCCAGAGTACACAGCTTGGAGAACAGACTGTGGGCTGGAATTAGTCCCGAGGTTCTCCTGCATCCGTGCATCCTGTGTGGCAAAACACCTGGACCCCTCTACGCAGCCACTCTGAGCTTTCTTCATCAAAGCAAGCAACTGGGCATCAGAAGAACCCACAGAGCACCGAGGGAAGGCACTTTCGTGAAACAGGACCTAAAGAAAGTTCTGAAGAATCTTTATTTGTAAAAGATACCCCTGAAATTCTTGAACCAAATTCTCACTTGTGGGTAGAAGAGATAAGAGTAAAGATCAACCCACTGTTAGCTCAGCCCTGCCATATAGATGGGGCAGAAGCAGAAAGCATGATGTGGGCTGGGCTGGCAAAGTGGCATATAGCAGAAATAGCATTTGTCTAAACACCTATGATGTGCATATCAGTCTCCCAGCCTCCTGCAGAGTGAAACACAGAAGTAAAATATAGTTCCTCCTCTCAAGATTTCAACACCTTGCTGAGATAGAAGAGCGAGGAAGAAGAGAAGAAACTGGAGCGTGAACAAAGCTTCACTGCTCCCTTACCTGTCTTCAGTTATAAGCCTTCGGCTCGTGTGGATACACTTGGTGAGCTCTGTTTGATAACACACAGTACGCTGCTGCTGATGTAAGCTCTTATTTATGGGACTGGATTCATGACAAGTTTCTACTGGATAGCACAGGGAGCTGTATTCAGTATCCTATGATAAACCATAATGTGAAAGAATATTTTAAAATGTATACATTCATATATAACTGAATCACTTTGCTGGACAGCAGAAATTAACACTACATTATAAATCAACTACACTTCAATTAAAAAAAAAATTCTGTATCCTGGATATATAACAGGGAGTCATAGATATATTGCCTGAGTTTGTGATGGATCTCATGAGAGTTCTGGAAGGACAGAATTACTCAAGGGATTTCTTGGGGAGCTAAAACATAAGCCACATATTGAAGAATACATTCCATGAACATAGGAAATATCCCCTGTCTAGATATATTTGTATATTTAAAACTTTGCAGTTAAGAGATATTCTTGATCTATTAGCCAAGATATTTAATATGAACAAGCTTCTGCAAATATATATTAGTATGAAAGGGGCAGAATTTGACATGCATCTAAGCCCCGTGTGTCCTGACAACTTCCTTGATGACTATTGCATTGAGAGAGCTTGGTAGCTTTTAAAGAACGCTCACCGGAAAAGGTCACAGAAGGGGATTTCAGAGTTGCTTTGGTGTAATGACCACTCCCCTCCATTGTTTTCACAGACCATAAACAAGACTGAAGAATGTCCGTCTGAAACTCTGCCTTGAATGAAGAAACTTCATTAAAAAAGAAGTTGGCTTCCAGTTTTGCACAGGCGTCGGTGGAATGCTGTTTTGTTTGTTTGTTTGTTTTTTTAATTTTCTACTTTACCCAATGAAAACAACGTGTTTTTATGTGCTGTGCAAATGGTTCCTTCATGTGGTCTGACAGTTTATTTTTGCATCATTTTTTTAATTAAAGAAAACAATCCCAGAAGAGGACAACTACTACAAACAAATAAAGCAAAACATGGAAGGTTGACATTCATGTGGAAGAACAATTGAATTCAGAATTTATCTGAAGGTGTAGATAGATTCTTTTTTTTTTTTTTTAAACAGGAAATCTGATGTCAAGAGGTGGGCAAGCAGAAATGGAAACAAATTGTCTTCCTCAGTAATTAAGCTACTCTTTCTTTTTCCCTTCTTGTTTAAATCTAGTGGGTTGGGTTTTTTTTTTATTTTATTTTTTTCTTAGAAATATTTAGGTAAGGTTTATCTTGAATCTTAATTGCCTTAATTTTAAGGACGTCAAAGGCTCTCGAGGCAAGCTGTCAACGTCTTGTTAAAACCAAGAAAGAATTGAAATATTGTACCGGTTTTCACTGGTACAGAAGTTTAAGACTATGAGTTTTTAGGGTGGAAAAAAAAACTGTACAGTTTTAAAGAAAATGTTTTTCTTCATTTGAAGAAAATTTGCTGATAAAAGAAACCATGGCAACTGCAAGAATTGGGGAAATGCTGGGACTTCTCATGAACTTTGTCTTAAGTGTTGAATCGTTCTAGAAGGCTAAAACATTTTAAGGTAAAGTTATTAATGTTGGTTTAAAAACAACTGCATTAGAAATAATGCGTGTTTGGGGGGCAGAATGCAGATTTTTTTAATTTCCAAAGCGTGATCGCTAGCAAAATCATTAGTGCTTTTTATCTGCAGTCTTTTTTATGAGCTTTACAAACTTTTTAGTCAGCTTTGCTTGTCACATTGCAAAATCTAGCTTAAGAGCATTAAAAAAAAAAAAAACTTAAGTAGATAGGAGCTTATTGTCAAAAAGTGCAAAAAAGAAAAAAACCACAAAAAAAAACAACAAAAAAAGCAATAGATAGAGAAATTGTTGACAATTTCTGTAGTCTTTCCTAGTTGTGATCAAATTCAGCCTATGGATGGCCTGTTTTATACCAAAGATGAAGTGGCACCCTGTTGCAGTCCAGAAGATAGAGGTTGCTTTTCTTTTCTTCTCTTTTCTTTTTTAAAATTTTATTTGACCTACATGGCCGGACCAGTTCTTACTTTGTTTGTTTAAACTACCTTCCACTGGTGTTTTTCATACTGCAAAAAAAAAAAAAAAAATTGTTTTTATTTTAAATGTATATTTGTGGATAGTAGAAGCTTGTTCCTGTGGTCAGCAATAGTAGCGCCAAGAGTTCTGGATTCCAACCAATAGAGCCAAATGGCTTTAAATTCCATGTGCTTTTCTGGTTCTTTCCTAGTGCTCTTGAATCATGAAGTCTGTATCGATGGCCACCAATGAGCTAACACACTTGTTTAACAGGTTGAAATTTCATTATGTGAATTTTGGACTCAAGATACTTCCTGAACTGGTCTGAAAGATCACTTGTTGAAAAAGCTCAGTGATGCTCTGTTGAGTGGTGAGTGGTCTCCTAAAAAGGCCTTGCACGGTATTTGTAACAATAGCCTTCCTTCTAAATCCCTGCACCTCTAGATTTTGTCTTCTTGCCTCAGTCTTTGTCATCATCTACCATGAATAGCCACCTTGAATCTGCAGTTGGGGAGGGGATATCTTTTTTTTTTTTTTTGCCTCATTTCATTGTATTTTCATATCCTGGTATTGTCAGAAGAAAGAAAACTTTTAAATTTCAGTTTAACTCTCTGAGGCAAATAGGACCAATAAGATTGAGGATTCTATTAGTGGAATTCAGGTAAGCTTTTAATGCTAGTTGACAATCAAGAAATAGTATGATTTATATGAATAAGAACCCAAATAATTAGATTTGATCGATTTTTAAAGCCAAAGGAGATATATATTACATTGAGAATGAGGCAAAACTTTGTCTAAAATGAATTAAATTGACTTACCGAACACCTCTGCATATTTGACTCATAAAATCTATGTTCAACCTGTACAGTTTTACCTGAAATGAAGGACAGTGGAACTCTGTTAACTGAACCATGCACTAGAATGGCTTTCTAATGGCTTATTAGAATCAATAGTTGAAACTCTTTTCACAAAGTCACAGGAACCTGTCTTAGTCCAGAAGGAAGAGGCACTGTAAAAGAAAACAGGGTAGGCATTTAAAAATGAATATATTAAAAGGTAAATCATATTCCCATTAGGTCAACATGAATAATGAGTTTGACTCATAAAATTCATCAACATTCTACTAGGTTTGATCTATAAACAAAGGTCTAGTGTTAAAATATACCTAATTCTCTTATTTGAAAATCCCATGAATTGAAAGCTCTTATCTAGAGAGTGATTTCATATCTTTGTGGTCCAATTGGAGGCAAACATATAGCCAAGGCAGTGTAGCATGTGCTACAAAAAAATCCCAACTGGTCACAGCCATCCCTGTGGTTTCCCATGCTTTACAGAGAATACTAAACTTAGGTTTCGTTTTGTTCCATTCTTCAGCCTCTCGTGTATTTTAAGGATGGCATTTTCTCTTTGAGAAATGGGCCCCCGAGTCACAGGGGGATGAGCAAACCTGTATAGGAGCTGTGCTTTCTGCTTCTCTTTTTCAGTCTCTGAACTCTGTGTATAAACAAGAATTATCCTGGGCATAATTCATTTGAATATGAAATCAACATACTTTGTCTTCTGTAAAAAAAAAATCAATCAAAATGTAATGTGATACTAAGAAAGTCTCATTTCCACAATCAACAATGAGGCTAAGAGGTAGCTACCATGTGGCTGATGAATGTGCCTAGGTAACTTCCTGTTTCTATTCAAAACTACTGCTTTATTTATACATTCAGCAACATTTTTTTCAACTATAAAATTTCAGTAATCTCAATTTTTTAAGCCACTTCAGGCAAAAGAAAATGACTTGCCATTTTATGTGTCCATCTGTGCTTTATGTTTGGACTTTTCTTATATTATGCCATACTATAATATCTTATTTTAAATCAAAAAGATGGAAAAAGTGGCACATGTTCCAATTTGCATATATCATCTCTAAAATTTATCACCTAAAGATTATTTTTAAGAGTCAAGCCTGGGAAAAAAATAAATACATCAATAGGTAGGCAGCATTACATTGTATGAAAAGTAAAACAAACCAAAACATATGTTCAGTACACACTGCCATCAGAATCCTAATTTAATCAACAGTACAGGTCATGGAGATTTTAACCCAACTTAGGATTACAATCATTTTTTAAGGTATTCTGGTTCACTATACTTCAAGCATTTACTCAGATTTTCAATTTTTCCTCTCATGTGCAATTGCCAAGACTTAGCCTAAGTGTCAGTAAGCAAAGTAAAACCACAATCCAAATAGGATAAACATTATTTCCTCCAAACTCTGGTTCCACGGCCAGTGGAGAAGCGGGTATTCTTTTAATAAGGAGGAGGTGTTGTCAAGGAAGTCTGCATGGTGACTGGGAAGTCCTCAGAGCCTGACCACATCTTCTGAAGTCATCAGGGACCATAGGTAACACTTTCAGGGTGGAAGACTGTCTTTCAACATGGGCATGTCTTAAATATTGCAAGTTACATTCTACGTTATCAATAATAAAACCTTTGACCCAGCTGTGGTTTGGTCAGGGTTAGTTTGTTTCCCTGGTAGTTTCGACCCCTCAAATGTTGTGACATGCTTCACCACTTAAATCAACTCTCCTGTGACCTTAACAGATCTGCTGCATTTGAGAACATTTATGACGCACTTCCACCCCCTCTTAATGAAAAACTACATGATGTTAAAAGCACCCATATCAGAGATGGAAAGCCCTAGGAGAATCCTAGATAGAAGGTTCGCTGAACCTACAGAATCCATTAACTGCTTGAAAAACCTCTATAATCATTTTCAATCTATGGATAAGAAAATAAAAGTACTTAGTTTTTCTAACTCTAGTTGAGTAATTGGGGTGTCTATTATATGCATATGGGTTTCCCAGGTAGCCCCAATGGTAAAGAACCTGCCTGCCAATTCAGGTAGACAAAAGAGATACAGGTTTGATCCCTGGGTTACGAAGATCCCCTGGAGGAGGACACAGCAGCCCATTCCAGGATTCTTGCCTGGAGAATCCCATGGACAGAGGAGCCTGGTAGGTGACAGCCCACAGGGCCACTCAGAGTCAGCATGACTGAAGTGACTTAGTGCGCACGCACACACACACGCACACACACACCCCCGATGTCCTTCACAGTGGCCTACAATTCCCATTAATGAAAGCTGAGATCTTACTAGGACCTTTGCAGTCTTCTTTATGCTTGGGGGAAAGTTTCAATGGACTGTCTCGACAGATGATAATCTAAGTAGGAGACTAAAAAGACACTTGACCATTCAGTCTCATTCTTAATTTGAGTGCAGGAGCCACTGATAAGCAGGGAGGCCTTTTTAAGTGGGTTTCCGTGATAAACGTTTTTATATGATATGAAATCAAATGAAAGGATATTTATATAGGTATATAATGACATGCAGTACATTGGAGGAGCCACACTTCATAGTCAAATTTAAACATGTCACAGAACCCTGATCTCTATTACCTTGTCCTCAGTAAAAGAGGAAGAATGAAATTTTGTTTTTCATGTAATTGAAAAACATGACTGGCAGGTTTCAAAATTCTAAGCTCGCTGGGACTGACAGCCCCTCATTCCAATTTAAGAGACTGACAGGGTTGTCACCCTTCCCATGACAGATTAATAATGAGATTTCAGTAATGAATCCATTTGTCTTGCAAATGACACCTACCATGGCATTGGAGACAGCCGAGTCTAACTCAAATTGACCATTTCTTACCAAATACTCTGAAACATGAAGTTGGTCCCTTAATCCAAGTGTTCTTGGCCATGGCTGTCCCTTGTGGGATACAGAGTTCAGGGAAGTACAGAAGCTGAGAACAAAATCCCTGAGTGGCCCAAACAGTCTTTTTTGATGTAAGGCAGGGAAGCTCAGCCCAGATTGGTGATTTCTGGTTTTTTTACCCCCAACATTTATGCTCACTGTCACATAAAAAAAGGATGGATAGCTTCTCCACGTTTATGTCTTTGTATTTCTGGGAGGGAAAACAATGAGTTTGGAATAGCACTGTCTCTGCGGCAGTTCTAAAGCTGGAGCAGGGTGAGGCGGGTCTTGGAGTCGCAGGAAGAACCACTAGGCCACTGGGTCCACAGCTTCAATCCATTGTATTCCCTCCAGTTAGTGACTGCCCTTAAGCCCCAGTCCTGCAGAAACACAATCACTCCCAGTTTTTGAAGGGCTAATCATTTACTTTTGTGCACCTTGTTTATCTTCTCTTTTCAACTAAGGACTTCTCTTTCTTTCTACTAGAATTTCACCCTGAGGATGGAAAACAAAAAACATTTGGAAATAAAATTCAAATCTATTTTGTTTCTTGTTAAGGATCAATTTATTGAAGCAGTTTGAAATCATTGGTAAAATGAATGTCAGTGCATTATATACTGTGAGTTTTTAATATCCATAATGTCCCTTTCCCATCCACTGCAAACAATTGCAAGTTGGCTATATGCTTGCAGAACATAAATGGAAAAAAGTATAGCAAAGAATTTGGCTTTCCTCAAATCTAGTTTGATTTTGTTCACTATTGAAATTTGAACCAGTAGAGCAGGTCAACTCAAAATTGAGTTTGGGGAATATAGTAATAGCTCTTGGTTAAATATGCACTTTTATCCCCATTGTAAATCTTTGACCAAAAAATTGCATTGTTTTATAATTTTTTGACTTTGTGTTACTACATTAAGGCTGTGACCTTGAGATTCCGTTGGATTTGTAAAAAAGAAAAAAAAAATTATTTCAAATTTAAACAGTATCCACAGTGTAACTTCAGTGTTATGCTTTGGATTGTTAACCCTCTAATCTTATCAAGAAAGATGCTCTGTCCTCCTCCCCAAAATAGGTTATTTCCTCATTTGTGAAACAGGAGTTATTCCACGTTTCAGAAACAGGAAAAATATTTCATAGAGATACTTGAAAAACTTTTCTCCATTCTGGGAATTAACGCTTCCATTTATTTAAAAAGAAGAAGAATGTAATTGGAATCTTAATTTAAAAAATATATATGTGAAAGTGTACTTGCTCTGAAATACTCAGTTTCCAAAAAGGAAGAAAAGGGGACACGGCTTCTTTTAAAACTGTTGTTTCAGGCCCTGTCTGATGTCATAGAACTTCTGAAACATCATTCAATTCTGAATTTTATTTAAGAGCATTTTGTACTGCTGTCTTTGACTGTCATGGAAAATTCTGTAATTGAACAGTGTTTCTGGTTTTATTTTTAACTTTTTCATCTGTACCACAGTCAAATTAGCTACCATTTTCCCCGTTCCTTGAGCTTTCTGTAGATCAGTGGATGTTAGGTTTAAACTTCTGTTTTCTTTGATGAAGCTTTCAATAAAAAATGAAAATAAAATCAACCAAGCAGGGTTGTTGTGTTTTTCTTCAAGCTTAGTGGAAGGAACAGTGTCTATATTTAATTGGCTTCCTACAAAATTTATTTGAAAAAAAAAGAACCCTCCCTGGTAACAAAATGTGAGAGAAGAAGACCATTGTGCTCATGCAAAGGAGCCTGTTTAGGAGTTTTGGGGATGCGAACCACTTAGGTCTCCCTGGGACTTCATACATTCATTCTCATTTTTATGCTTAAGAATTCAGAGATCATCAGCTTCTAACTCTAACACACGCCTATCATCTACCAATAATGCTTTCTTTAAAGGGATGCTGACAAAGAGAACATTTAGCTGCAGTCCAAAATTAGTAAAGTGAAAAGTAATATATCTCAGGCTTAATCTCACAGGGTTTTATTATTTCTGGATTTTTTTACAAAGGGGCATCATTTTCAATACTAATGAAAATGTCTCTCAGCTATCAAAAGGCCATCTTTTTGTTTAAATCCTTAAAAACAGGGAGCAGTCTTCTCCCCAGTTCTTTCTCCTGCCTTTAGGAAGCTGCAGGTTACCACTGTGAAAAAGTAGTCACTTGGAGGAACTGCCTGTTGGTCTCCAGTGGAGTCCAAACCCAAATCCTCGATTCTGAACAGAAGCGTGACGTGAGGGGTGGCTATAGTAGCAAAGGCCACCACTACCTGAGCCGAGCCTCGCCATGTGCCAGAAGCTGCCAGGGGCCCCATGCTTGAGCTCACACACATGCTCTCAGGTCAGTCCTGCCACAGCTCCATTTTCCAGATGAGGCTTGGAAAGTGGGCAACCCACCCACACAGCTACATCTTTGAAAGGCTAGAGTATGCTTTTAAAAACAGCTTCAAACTCTCAACACCTGTGGGACTTCCCTGGTGGTCCAGTGGCGAGGACTCTGAGCTCCCAGTGCAGGGGGCCCAGGTTGGATCCCTGGTCAGGGAACTTGATCCCACATGCTGCAACTAAGAGTTCATGTGCCAAAAGTAAAGGTCTTGTGTGCCACAACTACGACCTGGCACAGCCAAGTAAATAAATAGTTTGGTTTTTTTTTTTTTAATTTTAACCTTTGCTTCTAAGGTTATTTTCTTCTTCAGAGGCTTTGGGAAATGCCAATATGGAAGGCAACTCTTTTTCAGTTTTTTTTTTTTTTTTTCAAAAGTTCACCTCATTTGGCCTGAGATTCTGTGATTTCTATAGAAGAGGGTATTTGGACATCCATTCTAATCACCTTCGTCACAATTCACATTTTCCATCCCAGAAATAACTTGCTATTTCCATCATCTCTGTGATTTGTTCTGGAAGGAAAAGCCCTATCTACCACATAGATAGGCGTAACTTTTCATTGACTATTTCATTGAACAGTATGCAGTCCATGGACACTCTGTAAATATTTTAATGTTATAAAGATAGAGTAGACACTTCTCATCAACAAGGATTTCATAGAATATGATATGACAACATTTTAGCATGAAATAAGATCAAGAGATTTTGCAGGCAATACACTTAACCCTTCCATGACTTGATGCAAAGAGGATGGAGAGACTACCGGTCTGAATGCAATCATATCTTCTCTCATCCACACACAGGATGGACCTTCCAGACACTTCACTGCTGCCTCTCCCAGCTTCATACATTTCTCAGAGAAGTCAGATATTTTACCGTTGCCCTTTTTTCAAATCATCTGGGGGTATTTAATTCTTTTACAGCAAGAAGCATGGAATATACCTTTCTGAAATGGGTGGAACTCTAGTAGCAGCTGATAGTAGTATAAATCCTATGTTGCCATTTCAACAATCTTCATAGCATCTTCACAAGGAGTGAATTCCATCTCAAGAAACCACTTTCTTCACACATAACAAGAGTAACTCCTGAAGATGGTAGAATAGAAGGACATGACCGTACCTCTTATGGAAACATCAAAATCACAACTAACCGTTGAACCAGCGGCAGCAAACAACAACAACAAAGACCCCACTGGAACCTACCAAAAAAGATGCCCCACATCCAAAGACAGAGAAGAAACTGCAGTGAAACAGTCGGAGGGGCACAGTCATGATCAAATCAAATCCCATCTTCCCCGGGTGGGTGATCCACAAACTGGAAAAGAATTACATTGCAGAGGTTTTTCAAAAAGAGTGCAAGTTCTGAGCCCTACATCAGGCTCCCCGGGCTGAGGGTCTGGCAGTGGAGAGGAGCCCTCAGAGAATCTGGCTTTAAAGGTCAGTGGGATTTGATTGCAGGACTGAGGAAAAGAGAAACTCCACTTTTGAAGGGCACACACAAGGTCTCATACACACCAGGAACCGGGGGAAAAGCAGTGGCCGCATAAGTGCCTGGGCCTGGGTCAGACCTACTTGCTGGTATTGGAGGGTTTCTTGCAAGGTGGTGGTGGCGGGCGGGCACAGCTGTGGCTCACTGTGGTGACAAAGACGCTGGCTGCAGGAGTTCTGGGGTATTTTTAGTGGCACGAGCACTCCTGGAAGCCACCATTTTCTCACCAAGAACAGACTCCTCCCAGCAGCCTATAAGCTCCAGTGCTGGGACACCTCAGGCCAAACATCCAACCAGGGCAGAAACATAGCAGACAGGTTGCTTAAAGCCCTCACGAGCTCACAGCTGCCCACTAAACACACCGCTTGGCATAGCCCTGCCTACCACAGGGACAAGATCCAGCTCCACTCACCAGGGCGTAGGAACCAGTCCTGCCCAGCAGCAAGCTTGTACAAGTCTCTTAAACAGATGCGTCCACCATGGGGCAGAGAGCAGAAACAAGAAGAACTACAACTCTGCAACCTGAGGAATGGAAATTGCAGTCACAGAAAGTTGGATGGCAGAGGAAAATGTCCCAGATGAAGGAAAAAGATAAAACCCCGGAAGAACATATAAGGGAAGTGGAGATAGGCAATCTATCTGAAAAAGAATTCAGAATAATGGTAGTAAAGATCCAAAATCTTGGAGGAACAATGGAGGCACAGATTCAGAGGATAAAAGAAATGTTTAACAAAGATCTAGAAGAACTGAAGAATAAAAAACAGATGAGAAATAAATGAAATTTAAAAATACACTAGAGAGAATCCATAGCAGAATAAATGACACAAAAGAATGCAAAAGTGAACTGGAGGACAGAATAGTGAAAATCACTGCCATGAAACAGAATAAAGAAAAAAAATGGTAAGAAATGAGGAGCATCGAAGAGACCTCTGGGCCAACATTAACTACACCAATATTCATATTATATGGGTCCCAGAAGGAGAAGAGAGAGAGAAAAGACTGGAGAAAATATCTGAAGATATTTGAAAATATTTGAAGCTGAAAACTTTCCTAATGTAGGAAAGGAAATAGTCACCCAGTTCAGGAAACACAGAGAGTCCCAGGCAGGATAAACCCAAGGAGAAACACACAGAGACAAACAGTAATCAAACTGATAACAATTAAAAGCAGAGAAAAAAATATCAAAAGCATAAGAGAAAAGCAACAAGTAGCATCCAAGGGAACTCCCATAAAATTATTAGCTGATTTTCCAGGAGAAACTCTGCAGGCCAGAAGAGAGTGGCACAATATAATTAAAGTAATAAAACACACTCACACATAATAGATATTCTACTTTGTACCTGTTACAAATGTGATGTAACATGGCTAAAAGAATAATGAGATCTGATGCCAAATTTGAAGTCTGAGCTTGAATGCTCAGCTTAAACATCACTTGCTGTTTCACCTTGCACTTTGATGTTAAGGAGATAGCTTCTTTCCTTAAACCTCATGAACCAAACTCTGCAGGCTTCAGACTTTTCTTCTGTAGCTTCCTCACTTCTCTCAGCCTTCCTAGATTTGAAGAGGCTTAGGGTCTGCCTCTGGATTAGATTTTGGCTTAGGGAATGCTGTAGATTGCTTGGGGAATATTGTAGATGGCTTGATCTTCTATTAAGACCACTAAAACTTTCTCCATATCAGCAATAAGGCTGTTTTGCTTTCTTATCATTCCTGTGTTCCCCAAGTAGCACTTCTAACTTCCTTCAAGAACTCTCCCTCTGGATTTACAATTTGGCTAACTGCTTGGCTCAAGAGGCCTACCTTTCAGTCTGTTATGGCTTTCAACGAGCCTTTCTCACTAAGCTTTATCATTCCTAGCTTTTGATTTAACATGAGAGACATACAACTTTTTCTTTCACTGGTACTTTAGAGGCTTTGTGTGATTATTAACTAGTCTAATTTTATTATCGTTCTGTGTCAGGGACTAGGGAAGCTCAAGAAAAGTTTGAGAGATGGGGAAATGGCTGGCTGGTTCCCCATGTCAGAACACATGCAACGTTTGAAGTTTACCATCTTGTATGGAATGGTTTGTGTGTCCAAAAGAATTCCAATAGTAACATCAAAGATCACTGATCTCAGATCACCACAACTAACATAATAATAATGGGAAAATGGAATTCTTGTAAAAATTATTGCTAAAATGTGACACAGAGACACTTGGGAAAAAATGGAGCAAATAAACTTGCTGTGATCAGGATTGCTACAAATCTTCAATTTGTTATTAAAAGAAAACTTAATACATGTGAAGCACATTAATATATGTCCACAGCTCAAAACCCGAGAGGCTATCAAAGCTGAAGGTAGTACAGGGTAAGTCAAGAGAAGACAGCTGACAGCTAAGAGCGTGGCAGTGGGTGAGATGGCTCAGGAGAGGGTGATTAATGAACATGAAATTGGCAAAGAAAGGACAGTGGTCACTCACACACTCAAAGTTGGGGCAGACTAAAAGAATTTCAGTAAAGGGAGCAGGGAAGAAATTATGTGTAGCTAGATGGAAAAACAGGTGCTAAGACAATAAGAGAGGAATGAGTTTCAAGAAGACATAACACGGACTTCCCTGGAGGGAAGTTCAGACTTCCCCCCAGGGGTTGGGACTCTGGATTTCCATCGCAGGAGGTTCAGGTTAGTTTCCTGCTCAGGCAAATAGCATCCTAGATGCTGCCTGATGGCAGCCAAAAATAACAAAACGT